TAGATTAATATTCAATTTTTAGAATTATAATTTACAAAATCTAGATCTTCTTTACGCTTTTCAATTTTCCTTGCTTCTAAATATAGCAGATTTTAGCAGTCACTCGTATAGGCCTTTGAAAATGTTTGGTTCGGTTTCCATAACTTGGCTAAATAAAATACCTTCAGACATCTGAAACTGCATTAATAAATTTTATATATTCTGTTTCATTTTGAAGTATTTTATGACTGGATTAGCCAACAAAACCTTTATGAAAAATTAAAATAACTCACAAATATGACAAATTAAATTTATAAATAGAATGAAACGTAAGTTATCTGAAATGTTCCAATGTTGCTATTTTTAGTTGTAATCAACCGAAATTAGACTCATGGAGACCCTGTGGATCTCATTAAGGAATAAAATAAGATTTTCTAGGTTGGTAGCATAGGAAGATATAGTACGAGCAGAGGATATATCCAAGTTACCGGCTCTAGGAGGAGGTCTTAAAATTTATTTCGGTTTTAAAGAAAATCAAATGTATCTCTTAAGTTAGAATCATTAGGCTAGCTTTTATTGTTTTTACTCGCATGACATCATTTACAGGTGTTAACTTAGTCATCCCATGCTAGTTAGAAGATCTGCTGGTACCTTTAGGTCTCCTTTTTGAAAACCAGAGTATATTCTAGACCATCTTTTACTAATAAGGGGTTCTTGTTGAAAGGATTGGAAACAGTTTTATTTGGTGCTTAGTGAAAAAAAAAAATATGAAATTAATGTCCCTGCCATTTCTTTCTTAAGTGCCACGTTTTCTTTCAAACAAATAGCAATTTTTCAGTCTTAACTAACACTGGCATAGGGTAGAGTGAGTCAGAAAGACAGAGGGCTAAACAAATATTATGCAGATTTTTTTACTTTGATTTAAAATTTATAGTTGATTGACTAGTTTATACTTTTAAGTTGAAATGTTCAATTTACATACAGCATGGGAGTCCTGGTGTGGCACTGTGGGATAAGCACTGGACCACAAGGTCAGTTTAAACCACAAGGTTGGCAGTTCGAACTCAGCAGCTGCTCCTCAGAAACCCTATATATGGTCGCTATGAGTTAGAACCAACTCAACGGTGTTTAACAACAACATGGGAGCATTTTGGCTTCCTGGATAGCATAACAGTTAAGCATTTGACCACTAGCCAAAAGGTTGGCAGTTTGAACTTACCCAGAGACCTTAGAAGACAGACTGGAGATCCGCTTCTGTAAAGATTTTATAGCCAGGAAACCCCTGGTGACCAGTTCTCTTGTGTTACATGGAGTTGCTATGAGTTAGAATCAATGAGAAGATATGCAACAACACGGTCTCTGGAGGTTAATCTAGAGAGGTCCCAGTTCGAGGGCAATGTTCTGATACTGTATAGTTAGTTGTCAGGAGTATCTGGGAACAGTAAGTAAAGTCTGTGAGTATTGGAAGTTTCCACTGTCATGGCCTGATGTTCACAGGCTAGACTTTGGTTAATGGGATGGTGGTGAGAGGAAGGTAGGGCAGGATGCCAGTCCAGGGCTTCTGGAAATAAGACAAAAGCACCAAGGAGCTCTGGTAGCATAGTGGTTACTAATCAGGCTACGAACTGCAATGTCAGAAGTTCGAAACTACCAGCTGTTCCGCGGGAGAAAGATGAGGCTTTCTACTCCTGTTAAGATTTACAGCCTTGGAAACGCTGTACAGGGTTGCTATGAGTTGGAACTGACTCCACCGCACATAACAACATAACAACAACTGGGTCTGGGAGATAAGCTGAAGGCTTGGTCATGAACGGCAAGGCAAGAATCTAAGAACTGTGACAGAAAGTCAGAATTGGACAATAGCAAATCTGACTTGATGCTCATAGTCTAGAGATGCTCATAAATTCCCCACCACCATAGCCTAGGACCAAAACAAGGCTGTAGGTGGGAGATAGTTGGTGTCACATGTGTGGATTAGAATATTACTGAGACAGGCAACTGCCTGCACTTCATTGCATCTTCATCTGTTTGCCTCTGGTTTACACCAACTGCTCCTCTTAGAGTTTATACTCAAGGCAAGGCATTGGTCATTCAATATTTGAAGTCTTGCTTTCTAATATCCTGATCAATGTACTTCAATCAAAACCACCTCCTTTCAGTGCAGGCTTGCGTGTTGCTATGATACTCAACTGGTTTCAGCAGAGCTTCCAGAGTAGGAAGAATGGCCTGGCTGTCTACTTCTGAAAACCATGTGTATTACAATGGTCCAGTCACCATCTAATCATGGTGATAGTTCAAGACCAGGCAGTATTTTGTTTTGTTGTACATAAGGTGGCCATGAACCAGGGTCTTCTATATGGCAGCTACCTACAACAACATACTCAAGTCTGTGGGAACCACCACCAAAGATTCAGAGAAGTGGAAAGCCTAAATTAGAAATCGTTTGTTCTTAGTGTATTTATTTGGAACACTGGATCAGGATGGGTAATTTATAGAGGTATATCACAAATACTCATGGATTATAAATCATTTCTGCAGGTTCTCTTGGGATCCTAAATTCTATACATATATTTGTGTGGGTAGGAAACTGTTTCATGTTCTAAGCACATGGTATTGAAACCACTTATCTGTACTTGGAGAATGCTTGGTATTCTCAAGATTGTTGTTTTTACAATTTGCATACAGAATGGATACCCAGATATTTTTTAAAATGAGTGCTTTTATATTGTTAAGTGCCATCCTGCTGGTTCTGACTCATAGCAACCCTGTTTAGGGTTAGGGTTTCTGAGGCTGTATATTTTTGTGGGAGCAGACAACCTCATCTTTCTCTCATGGAGTTACAGGTGGGCTCGAACTGCTGACCTTGTAGTTTGTAGACCAATGCTTAGCCTACAGAGCCACATTAGGATTTAAAAGATTGTATTTGCAAGGTCAATTACAAATTCTGTCCTAACAATACTTACACTGCAGTGAAACATGTTGCTTTAATCTTTCCTTTTTTTAGAAAGTATATTTTCTTTTGAGACGTTATATCTAGAATAGATTAAAACGTGGCTGTATTTGAAAAGGAGAAACAATCTGGATCCTGTTTAATTCATTTAATAATTTGTGTTAGAATGTAAAGAAACTCTCCTTATCCAGTTCCACTAATTTCAATTCGTGATTGACAACTTGAAACAGGCTAAAGTGTTGTTTTCTCTATTAAAGAAATTTGGCAAACTCCGTAGTGTACAATCAAGATTTATGTTGTTGTTGTTAGGTGCCATCGAGTCGGTACCGACTCGTAATGATTTATACACAGCAGAACGAAACACTGACCAATCCTTGGCCAACCTCACTACTTTTGCCACGCTTGAGTTCATCAATGCTACCACCTGGCCAATCCCTCTCATTGGAGGTCTTCCTCTTATTCTCTGACCCTCCACCTTACCAAACATGATAGACTTCTCCAGTGACTGGTCCCTCCTGACAATATGTCCAAAATATGAGCTACGAAGTTTGGCCATCCTGGCCTCCAAGGAGCCCTCTGGCTGCACTTCTTCTAAAATGGATCTATTAGTTCTTTTGGCAGCCCATGCCACTTTCAATATTCTCCTCCAACACCATGACTCAAAAGCATCAATTCTTCTATGGTCTTCCTTATTCACTGTCCAGCTTTCGCATGCGTATGAGGTTATTGAAAATACCAAGGCTTGGGTCAGGCGCACCTTAATCTGCAAGCTGACATCTTCTATCTTTAACACTTTAAAAAGATCTTGTGCAGAAGATTTGCCTAATGCAATTAAATTCATTTAAGAAAGCAAATTGTTTTAAGTCTTGTGCTGCAGCATATCATACATAAATGAGGACTATTAATTACAGATCCAACAAACTAAATGCTTAATATGTCCTGGGAGTTGTTATTTACTTTACAAGTTTGTATGATTTGCATTTCATAGATCAAGATTAATCTTCCTTAATTGATTGAAACAACAAAGGGTGTATGTATGTGTGTGTTAATAGATCTCATAAATCTTGATTTTTTAAAAAATTACAGATACCTCACTCCTATTATGCCCCTCACAGGTTCTTACCAAGCCTAGCAAGATCTGCATTAGAGAAAAATCTGTCAGATGCTTCAATAAAAATAATGACTGATAATAATCTGGAACCAGAATTGAAAGATTACAAATGTAAGTGTTGCATGTATTTCTTTTTCAAGTTGAATAATAATGATCAAACATTTTATTCTATCGATTATTGTAAATTCAATAATAAATATTTTGTTTTTCATCTATTCTTCTGCCAACAACCCTGTGCTGTTGTCTCTCTGATGTACTGGACTGACAGATGTATCTGCTCATTAAAAAGAGGTTGAAAACACACTTATAAGTTAAACCTTAGAATATTTATTTTTGTGCACACTGGATACAGTTCCCCTCCCCACCGAGAGTCACAATGAGCATTAAGAAATTAAAGACTCTGGGAAGTGTTGCAATTAATAAACTCATCTAGTTTTGTTATAATATTTTCAAAGTGTGTTTCACCATCCAATCTAGAATTTGGTTTCTGTTGCACAACTTTTATATGTTGTTGTTGTGAGGTGCCCTTGAGTCAGTTCCAACTCATAGTCACACTATGCCCAACAGAAAAAAACACTGGCTGGTCCTTCACCTTCTTCAAAATTGTTGTATTTTAGTCCATTGTTGCTACCACTGTGTCCATCCATTTTGTTGGCGGGCTCCCTCTTTTTTATTGACCATGATATCCTTCTCCAGGGACTGATCCCTCCTAATTATGTTCAAAGAATGAGAGATTAATCTCACCATCTTTGTTTCTGAGAAGCATTCTGACTGTACTTTCGTCCAAGACAGATTTATTTGTTTTTCTGGCAGTCTGAAGTTCTTTGTAGACATCATAATTCAAATGCATCAATTCTTCTATGGTTTTCCTTATTTGCTATCTAACTTTCACATGCCTATGAGGCTATTGAAAATACGATCACTTTGGTCAGGTGCACCTTAGTCCTCAAACTGACATCTTTCCTCTTGAACACTTTAAACAGGTCTTGTGCAGCAGATTTGCCTAATGCAATACATCATTTGCTTTCTTGACTGCTACTTCCATGAGTGTTGATAGTGAATCCAAGCAAATTGAAGTCTTTGACAACTTCAATATTTTCTCTATTTATCATTATGTTAAATGTTTTGCGAGGACTTTTGTTTTCTTTCCATTAAGGTGCAATCCATGCTGAAGATTGTATGTAGTCTTTGATCTTTATCAGTATTTCAAGTCTTCTTCACTTCCAGAAAACAAGTCTGTGTCATCTGCATATCAGAGGTTAAGTCTTCCTCCAATCCTGATGTCATGTTCTTGTTCGTAGACTCCATCTTCTCTGTTCATTTGCTCAGCATACAGTTTGAATAAATATGGTAAAAGGATATAAGCCGGGCTCATACCTTTCTTAATTTTAAACCATTCAGGATCCTTTTGTTCTGTTAAAACACCTGCCTCTTGGTCTACATACAGGTTCCTCATGAGCACAATTAAGTATTCTGGAATACTCATTCTTCACAACGTTGTTCATAATTTGTTATGATCCGCATAGTCAATAAAGCACAAGTAAGCATCTTTCTGTATTCTTTGCTCTTTTGCCGAGAGCCATCTGATGTCAACAATGATATCCCTCATTCCAAGTCTACTTCTGAATATGACTTGAATCTCTGGCAGCTCCCTGTTGATGTGCTCAGCAACTATTTTAAAATTATCTTCAGCCAAATTTTACCTGCATGTCATGTTAATGATATTGTTTGATGATTTCTGCTTCTGTTGGGTCACCTTTCTTTGGATTGGGCACAGATATGGATCTCTTATAATTAGTTGGCCAGGTAGCTGTCTTCCAAATTTCTTGGCATAGTTGGGTGAGTGCCTTCAGTATTGCATCAGTTTTTGGAAGATTTCAGTTTGTTTCCGTCAGTTCCTGGATCCTTGCTTTTCTCAATGCCTCCAGTGTAGCTTAGACTTCTTCCTTCAGTACCATTAGTTTTTGATCATATGCTACCTCTTGAAAGGCTTCAGCATTGACCAATTGTTTTTGGCCCAGTGACTCATTGTAGATCCCTTCCATTTTCTTTTGATGTTCTCTGCATTATTCAGTATTTTGCCCATTGATGTTGTTGTTGCTAAGTGCCATAGAATCCATCAATATTGTTAAGTCAAGACTTGAATGTTTTCTTCAGTTCTTTCAGCTTGAGAAATGCTGAATGTGTTCTTCCCTTTTGGTTTTCTAACTCAGGTCTTTGCACATTTCATTATAATAGTTGATCGTGTTTTTTCGAGCTATCCCATTGAAATTTTCAGTTCAGCTCTTTTGCATCCTTATTTCTTCCAGTGACTTTAGCTTCCCTGTGTTGAAAAGCAAGTTTAAGAATATCTTCTGACATTCAGTTTGTGTTTGTTTGTTTTGTTTTGTTTTTCTTTCCTGTGTTTATAATGACCTTTGCTTTCTTCCTGTATAATGTTCTTGATGTCATTCCACAGCTCTTCTGGTTTGGGGTCTAATGCATCAAATTTGTTCTTGAGATGGTCTTTACATTCAGGTGGGATATACTTAAGGCAACATTTTGGCTCTCTTGGACTTGTTTTAATTTTCATCAGCTTCAAACTGAACTTGCATTTGAGCAATTGATGGTTTTTTTCATGGTCTCTCCCTGGGTTTCTTATGGCTTATACTATTGACCGTCTCCACCATCTCTTTCCATAGATGTAGTCAGTGTGATTCCTTTGGATTCCATCTGGTGATGTCCATGTGTATAGTCACTTTTTCATGTTGTTGGAAAAGATATTTGCAATGACTAAGTCCTTGGTGTTGCAAAATTCTATCATGTGATCTCTAGCATTGTTTCTATCACCAAGGCCATATTTTTCAATTATTGATCCTTCCTCTTTGTTTCCAACTTTCCCATTCAAGTCACCAGAAATTATCAATGCATCTTGATTGCGTGTTTGATGAATTTCAAACTGAAGAAGTTGGTTGTGGCGGTGTGGTTGTGTGCCATGGATTCTGTTCTGACTCTTAATGATGCTGTAAATCTTTACTGTAAAAATTTATAGCTGAGGCTATAAACCTTCATGGGAGCAAAAAAAAGGCAGCTGTTAGATTCAAACTGCTGACCTTGCGGTTAGCAGCCCAACTTGTAATCTACTATGCTACCAGGGCTCCTTGGAGACATTGGTAGAATTCCTCAATTTTATCATCACTGGTTCTAGTGGCAGCTGCATACATTTGATTACTAGTGGTATTAACTGGTCTTCCGAGTAAGCATATGGATATTATCCTATTGCAGATACATACTACTTCAAGGTAGTTCTTGAAATGCTCTCTTTGACAAGAATTGGAGTGCCATTCCTTTCAGTTAGTCTTCCCTGGCATAGTAAACCATACAATTATCTGATTCAAAATGGCCAGTACCAATCATTTCAGCTCACTAATGCCTAGGATATTGATCGTTATGCATTCCATTACATTTTTGATGACTTCCAATTTTCTTAGATTCATCCTTTGTACACTCCAGGTTATGATTATGAATAGGTGTTTACAGTTGTTCCTTCTCATTTTGAATTGTTCCCCATGAGCAGATGAAAGTCCTGAAAGCTTTGCTCCATCTACGTCATTAAGATCAACTTTACTTTGAGAAGGCAGCTAGTTCTTCCCCAGTCATAGTTTGAGTGCCTTCCAACCTGAGGGTTTTACCTTCTGACACCACATTTGGTAACCTTCCAATGCTATTCATAAGGTTTTCATTGGCTAACTATTCAGAAGTGGTCTTCCTCTTCTTCTTATCTGTCTTAGTCTGGAAGCTCTGCTGAAATGTGTCCTCCATGGATGACCTTGTTGATATTTAGAATACTGGTGGCATAGCTTCTAGCATCACAGCAACACGCAAGCCACCTCAGTGTGACAAACTGACAGATGAGTGGTGCACTGCATGTTGAGAGCTATCCAGTTTTTATGGGACACACTGGGAAAGTATTGCTGGATGATGCAGAGTAAAAGAATACTCTGCACACTATCTTTTAAAAAATTTATTGTTTGAAAGTTTTTATTGTGAACTGAGTGATCATTTACATGGGAGAACATTGATTTTACACTATCATTTCATTGCAATGATTATAGTCTCCTCCATGCATCATCATTCAACAGTATTTGCTTCTATTATCTGTTTTGTTTATTGTTGTTGTTGTTTTGGAGGGGATGCACACAGAAACACTCAGGAATTTATAATAATTTAAACAACCAAAGGGCACATTCTGCACACCTGCCCCCTGGCCATCAACAGGAGTTTCCATAAGTCCAGAGCTCTCAACTGCTCCCTCTCTCGATGTTCTCATCTCTACCTCCATCTCTGGTGTCACTGCTTCTCTGGATAGGCACCTGCACTCTGCTTGTTCTCTTCTCTCTTCAGGGTCCTAGGGTCCTCTGTTTCTGGACTATAAGATGAACTACTCCCTCATTTTTGTTACAAAACTTCTACTTTACAGTTGTAACAGTAGCAAATAGTCATGATCTCTTTTCACCAGACCCATCTAGACAAGATGAAAACTATTCAGTATGCACATTCTCTAATGTCTCCTTCCTCCTTTCATTTCCACTGTACTTTCTTTTGTGGTCATTTTTTTTTCATGATAGAAATGTATAATTTTGAGTTGTGGAGAAACATATCTCTTTCTACAAATGTTTCTTATTCTTCAATTTGAGCACCGTGAAAGTTTTCTTTCTTTTGTAAAGTATTTCACCTGTTTTTATCAAAATAGCCAATGTTTGCCAACCCTCTAAAGGTGACTGTTGTTCTCTTTTGTAGTAGATGCTCTTAGTAGTTGTGGCTACAGTGACACGAGAATTTGGTATTAAGGAAGTAAGACTTTTATTTAAAAGTAAAATTGTGAACTTTATATAACTGATGGATCTGATTACAGATAGGCAGACAACTCAAAGAGTTGTAGACTCAAAGTGCCTTAAATCTATTAAGTGAAAGACTATGTCATTCAAACTGTAGATTACTCAGTCTTGAAAACAGGCTGAACATATAAGCCTTGTATTGCTGTTGCTATTACGTGCCGTCGAGTCGGTTCTGACTTATAGCAGACCTATATAGGGTTTCCAAGGACTGGTTGGTGAGCTTGAACTGCCGACCTTGTGATTCAAACTGAGTTTGCAGGACAGCGAGTTAACCTACAGTGCCACACTGGGGTAGTGAGGGAATAAGGAACTAAGCTGAGAGCTTTTTTTACTCATCTGGTTCCATTCGTCTTTCATGTCAATCCCTTTATGAAGAATTGTTAGTCTGACATTTTAAGTATTTCATTCATTTAAACCACTCTCCTTTGAAGCCCTCTTGTGTGCTCCCTGACTTTAAGGAGTTTATTATTTAGGTTCCTGGCTTCAGGGAGCTCTGAATCTACTCTAGACCATCCCATTTAAAGTAAATAGGGAACAGTACTATAATGTTGTTGTTGTTGTTGTTGTTAAGTGCTGTGGAGTTGGTACTGACTCATCTCAATCGTGTATAGTATTTCCAAGGAGGGGCTGGTGAGTTTGAACCATCGACCTTACCATTCAAACAGACCTTGTGGTCCAGTGCTTATCCTACAGAGCCACACCAGGACTCTAATACAGTAATTATAATTACAAATAGTGTAGGGCTGAAGTTCACAGTCTAGCTAATGCCAAAACCATCAGGAAATACTTGTTTGAAAATATAGGTTTTTTGGAGTATCTCTGAAAATAGCGAGTTAAGAGTTTGCGTGGTAATGTTGGTTCATCTGTATTTTTTACTAGAGTTTTAAGGGGTTCTCATGTGGAGCTTTTCCATATTTGGCCCCTAAAACATTATAATCAAGATACTTCAAAGCTATTAAATGCATATTTGGCTTATGTATGTTTTGAAGACTTTGCCCAAACCAGCTTCTGCAAGTTGTTTGACTAAGTTTTGTTGTTGTTGTTGTCTCTCAATTGTATGTATATGCTGTTTGCTGTATGTAAAAGTGATGGCAGACCCTGTCTCTCCCACAGCACTGTCTGCTCAGCTGCATTCAGTAATCCATTGCAGTGGCCACTCTGAACCCAGAAACCATACTCACAGTTATGGGGTTACTAGGGAAGTTCACAGATTTCCTTCTGTTGTGCTAAGGGTCTCTATGAGTGGGAACTGACTTGACGACACCTAGCAACAACAGGTTACAATGCAGGAGCATAAATGCTCAGGGCACAGTTCCTCCAGGGAGGACAGCTTTTCATTCATGGCCACAGGCAGGTCTCTCTCTGCCTGGCCAATGTTACAAAGCTCTTTAGAGCTGCTGATAAATACCCACAGGATATACCATAGCTCAATAAGCCTCAGCCTGAAGACACTGGGCTCTAGCTATGTGGGTCAGCAAACCCTGCCATCCCCAACTAAGTCCCTAGAGGCATCCAACTCTGTAAGCAAGCCTCCTGTCCAGAGTTTCTCAACTTATACTTCCTCTGTGGGCTGGGAAGCCCACCATTCCCTCTTGCTCTCTGGTTCTTGGTCCCTGCTGATGCTCCTCTGTCATTCCTTGGGTGCCACAGCTTTGTGTCCCTGGGTTGAGGAGGTTCAATGCAGGGATCTCAGGACCCAAAGCCTGCAATCCACTCCTGGCTTTTCTTCTTGATTGTAGCAAGATCTCCCCTTGGGCTTCTAAGATAGCTTACTTTATACCCAGGAGGATGGCAAAAAAGACTAATCACAATCAGCCTTGTTAACAGTCACTCCCTGATGAATAATAATCTATCAGCATCTTCCCCACCTACTCTTATCTAGACCCATGAGGAAAAAGTCATTTGGTTAGAATTAATAAAGACTGTGGTGTGGTGCTCTGGAGTCCTGGTGTGGCGCTGTGGGTTAAGGCGTCAGATTGCAAAGTCATTTGAACCGCAAGTTCGATGGTTCAAGCTCACCAGCCGCTCCTTGAAAACCCTATACAGGGTCGCTATGGGTCGGAATCTACTCGATGGCACTTCACAACAACATGGTGTGGTGCTCTAGGATAAGCACTGACCACAAGGTCATTTGAATCACAAGGTCGGTGGTTCAAACTCAACCAGCCACTCCTCAGAAACCCCATATAGGGCCGCTATGAGTCAGAACCAACTCAATGGCACTTACTAACAAAAACAACAATAACATGACTAGAAGGGAAAGTAAATAATTCATTACATCATAGTATGTATACAGTTTAAAATACATTTTCTACATTTTGGAACATTTTAAGCTGTATGTAAGTTATAGCGTTTTATGACCACCTACAAGCTGATTTCTTTTAGGAATGTAACTTAAGACCCTTGGCGAGCTCACTGAGTATTACCAATGCTACTTGCTGTTCTGTGTTTGGTGCACTGCATCCTCTGTGGATTGTGCCAACAGTAAGTCTCTGCCCTGTGTCAAATACTTAGGTGAAGTAGTATCTGGATGTCTGAGGATCGGAGCTGTCAGTGCACCAGTATTCAACGCCCATGAGAAAATGAAAGTGCCTGATGTTCTGTTCTATGACAATGTGCAGGTAAGATCACTGCTCTGTATTCCTAGATAAAGCTTAATTCACATTGCTGTAGTTAACACGGATTCAAGTGAAAGTGATGTTTATTTTTGTAATTTTGAAAATTTAACTAAGATAATATAAAATGAAGCGATGAAACATTTTTTATTAAGGCATTTTCTTGCAAAATGTAGCTTCTTTTTTAAAGATTCATGTGAGTTAGAGGAGTTTCTGCTATGATCAGGGTAATAATGGATTTTCTACACAAGCATGCATGTTATATGACTTCACATCAGTTCATAGTGGGATACATCATTAGATTAAAGCCAAAGTAGGGAGAATAGTCATCCTTTGGTTTTGTTTGATAGTTAAATGATTGCATTTGTTGTTGTTGTTGTTATTAAATGCCGTTGAGTTGATTCCCTGCATAGGGTTCCCAAGGAGCAACTGATAATATTGAACCACCGACCTTGCAGTTCTAATGACTTTACAGTCTGATGCCTTAGCCCACAGCACCACACCAGGCCTCCTTTCTTGCATAGGATGACAATATTATTAATATCCTATCTTACTTGCAGAGGATATTAATACTATTGTCCGATGATTTTTGCATTCCAATGCGTCACCTCTCTTTGGAATGGGTACAAATATGGATCCCTTCCAGTCAGTTGGTCAGGTAGCTGTCTTCCAAATTTCTTGGCAGAGATGCATGAGTGCCTGCAGTGCTACATCAGTTTGTTGAAAGATTTTCACTTTGTATTCCATCAATAACTGGTGCCTTGTTTTTTGCCAGTGACTTCACTGTACCTTAGATTTCTTCCTTCAATATCATTGGCTCTTGATCATATGTTACCTCTTGAAATGGTTGAACATCAACCCGTTCTTTTTGGTACAATGACTCTGTGTATTCCTTCCATCTTCTTTTGATGTTTTCTTTATCATTCAGTATTTTGCCCACAGAATACTTAAATACCACACGTCAAGGTTTGAATATTTTCTTCAGTTCCCTCAGCTTGACAAATGCTGAGTGTGTTCTTCCTTTTTGGTTTTCTAACTCCAGGTCTTTGCACATTTTGTTATAATATTTCCTTTGTCTTTTAAAGCTGACCTTTAAAATTTTCTGTTCAGCTCTTTTACTTCCTTATTTCTTCCATTTGCCTTATCATCTGTATGCTGGAGAGCAAATTTTAGAGTCTCTTCTGACATCCAGTTTGGTCTTTTCCTTCTTTCTTGTTTTCTTAATGACCTTTTACGTTCTTTCTATATGTTCTTGATGACATCCCACAACGTTTCTGACCTTTGGTCTTTAGGAACTAATGCATCAAATCTGTTCTTCAGATGATCTCTAAATTCAGGTGGGATATGTTGAAGGTCATATATTGGCTCTCATGGACCTGTTTTAATTTTCTTCAACTTCACCTTGAACTTGCCTATGAGCAACTGATGATTTGTTCCATAGTCTGATCCTGGCTTTGTTTTGGCTGATGATATGGAGCTTTTCCACTGTTTCTTTCCACAGATGTAGTCAATTGATTTTTGTGTATTCCATCTGATGAGGTCCATGTGTTCGGTAGTCTTTTATGTTGTTTAGAAAAGGCATTTGCATTGAAGAAGTCATTGTTGTTGTTGTTGTTGTGTGCCATCGAGTCGGTTCCGACCCATAGCGACCCTGTATAGGGTTTCCGAGGGTGTAAATCTTTACGGGAGTAGAAAGCCTCATCTTTCTCCCGCGGAGCAGCTGGTAGTTTCGAACCGCTGACCTTAAGGTTTGCAGCCCGATTCGTAACCACTACGCTACCAGAGCTCCTTAATCTTGCAAAATTCTATCATGTAATCTCCAGCATTGTTTCTATCACCAAGGCCATATTTTCCATCACTGATCCTTCCTCTTTGTTTGCAACCTTTCTTTTCCAGTCACCAGTAATTATCAATACATCTTGATAGCATGTTTAATCAATTTCAGACTGAAGAAGTTGGTAAAATTCTTCAATTTCATCATCATTGGTGTTAGTGGTTGGTGCATAAATTTGAATAATAGTGATATTAACTGATCTTCCTTATAGGCATATGGATATTATCCTATCACAGACAGCGTTGTACTTCAAGACAGATCTTGATATCTTCTTTTTGATAATGTATGTCATGCTGTTCTTCTTCAATTTGTCATACCAGGCATAGTAAAACAGATTCAAAATGACCAATACCAGTCCATTTCAGCTCATTAAGGGCTATGATATTGGTGTTTATGTGTTCCCTTTCATTTTTGACAGCTTCTCATTTTCCTAGATTCATATTTTGTACATTCCATGGTCTGATTATTAATGGATGGTTACAGCTCTTTCTCTTTATTGTGAGTTATGCCCTATCAGCAAATGAAGCCACCGGAAGCTTTACTCCATTCGTGTCATCACAGTCAACTCTATGCTGAGGATGCAGCTCTTCCCCAGTTGCGTTTTGAATACCTTCCAACCTGAGGGACGCATATTCTGCCACTATATCTGACGATATTCTGGTGCTTTTCATCATGTTTCAGTAGTCTGGTGCTGACAGTGTTCCACTGCTATTCATAAGGTTTTCAGTGACTAGATATTCGGAAGTAGTCCATCTATCCTTTGTCTGGAAGCTTAGCTGAAACCTGTCCACCATAGGTGACCCTGCTGGTATTTAAAATACCCTTGGCATAGCTTCCAGATTCAGCAACACGCAAGCCACCACAATACAACTAACTGACAGAGTAGGAAGGAACAAAGAGAAAAGACAGGAAATGATGAGTAGCAATTTGAAAAATTTCTTGGTAACAAATGTAGAAAGGAACTCATAGCCTATAAGAAGGTAAATACCATTGAAGGGAGGACCTTTGGTGCCTGAGCACAGAGAAATTGACGCCTTCAATGAGGGGCTTTTTGTAGCCTATCTCCAACTATTCCTTCTCTTTATAAAGCATCAGCGAGTTAATCATTCATAAAAAAAACCATGTTGTTTTTGTGCTGTTAAGTGCTGTTGAGTAAGTTCCAACTCATAGTGACTTTGTATGCTGTTTCCATGGAGTGACTGGTGGATTTGAACCATCTACCTTGTGGTTAGCAGTCTAGTCACTCCTACAGTGCCACACCAGGACTTCAAAAATGCATTTTCGGGTCTGCGTTATAGGGAAAGTAGCTCTTGTTTTATCCGTTTCCGGAGTCCTGGCTGCCCTGTGCTTACAGCTCTTGGCTGCTGACTAAAAGGTCAGTGGTCTGAAGCCAGCTGCTCTGAGGGAGAACGATGTGGCAGCCTTGGAATCGCATGGAGCCATTCTACTGTGTCCTACAAGATCACTATGCGTTGGAAATGACTGGACGCAGTCGGTTTGGATACCATGCTGCTGTTCTGTACCCTGAAGCGCCCCTTTCTTCTCCAAACTCGGCTGGAACTGATTTTTAAAATATGTGTTTTCACACCCTGTGTTTCTGTATTTTGCATCTCAGGAAATACCACTGTGCCTTTTACATAACAACTACTGAGTAAATATGTTTTCAGTGGATTGGATAAGATTGGATAAGATTGTTGTTGTTGCTAAGTTCCATCAAGTCCATTTCAACTCATAGCCTCCCTGTATGAGGTTTTTGAGGAGCGGCTGGTATGTGTGAACCACTGACCTTGTGGTTAGTAATCCAGTGCTGATCCACAGCGTCTCACCAGGACACCAAGAGAAAAGAGATGGATAGCCTCTCAATAAGCTAAGGAGTCTTGATATGGCACTGTAGGATAAATACTGGATTGCTAACCACAAAGTTGGCTGTTCAAACCCCAGCCAATCAGTAGAAGTTCTGTACAGGGTCTCTATGAGTCAGAATTGACTCGATAGCACTTAACAACAACGATACACTTAAGGGACTCCTAGTATGGCCCTGTAGGATCCACACTGGACTTTAAACTACAAAACGTCAGTTCAAACCCACCAGCCACTCATTGGAAACCCTATACAGGGTCTCTATGATTCGGTGTCAGTATTGACTTGATGGCACTGAACAACAGTAACAATAAGCTTAAGGAGTTTTAAATCTGAAAACATTCAGAAAAATATATTCAATGTACCAGGCCTTGAACTAAGGTATTGAGATACAGAAATTTATGGAGTCCTGGTGTGGCCCTGTAGGATAAGTACTGGACTGCTAACCAAAAGGTTGGCGGTTCAAACCCACCAGCTACTTATCGGAAACCTTATGCAGGGTCTCTATGATTCGATGTCAATATCGACTTTATGGCACTTAACAATAACGGTAACAATAAATTTAAGGAGTTTTAAATCTGAAAACATTAAAAAAAAAAACCTGTAATGTGCTAGGCTTTTAATTAAGGTATTGAGATACAGAAATTTATGAAGTCCTGATGTGGGATTGTAGGATATGCATTGGACTGCTAACCTCAAGATCAGTGGTCCAAACCCACCAGCTGCTCACTGGAAACCCTATACAGGGCTCCAGTGAGTCAGAACTGACTCAACAACACTTAACAACAACAACAAAGTATACAAGGGGATTTCAAAAAATTCATATGAAAATTCTATTAGCTTTTAGTTCCATTTTCCACAAACTTTTTGAAACTTTTTGAAATTTTGTTGTTACTGTTAGGTGCTGTCGAGTCAGTTACAACTCAAAGTGTTGGGTTTGAACTACTGACTTTGCAGTTAGCAGTCCAGTGCTTATTCTGTAGTTGGATTCCATATATATTGTTATTGTTATTGTTGATGTATATCAGATTCGGGACTCTCTCTCTC